TATAGGTATGTGTTTGGGTAAAAATAACATTTTTGTTTTATTCTATAAACTACTGACAACATTTCTCCCAAATTCCAAATATAAACTGGTCAAAATAACAAAAAAGATGCAGTGGTCAGACCTCGAATAATGCAAAGAAAATAAGTTCATGTTCATTTTTAAACAACACAATACTAATGTTTTAACTTAGGAAGAGTTCAGAAATCAATATCAATATACAAACCCTGATTTTCAATCACAGCTTTCATGTGTCTTGGCATGCTTCCACCAGTCTTTCACGTTGATGTTGGGTGACTTTATGCCACTCCTGGCGCAAAAATTCAAGCTGCTCGGCTTTGTTTGATGGCTTGTGACCATCCATCTTCCTCTTGATCACATTCCAGAAGTTTTCAATGGGGTTCAGGTCTGGAGATTGGGCTGGCCATGACAGGGTCTTGATCTGGTGGTCCTCCATCCACACATTGATTGACCTGGCTGTGTGGCATGGCGCATTGTCCTGCTGGAAAAACCAATCCTCAGAGTTGGGGAACAATGTCAGAACAAAAGGAAGCAAGTTTTCTTCCAGAACAACCTTGTACGTGGCTTGATTCATGCGTCCTTCACAAAGACAAATCTGCCCGATTCCAGCCTTGCTGAAGCACCCCCAGATCATCACCGATCCTCCACCAAATTTCACAGTGGGTGCGAGACACTGTAGCCCCCCGTGTAGCTCAGTTGGTAGAGCATGGCGCTTGCAACGCCAGGGTTGTGGGTTCAATTCCCATGGGGGGCCAGTATGAAAAAATGTATGCACTCACTAAAACTGTAAGTCGCTCTGGATAAGAGTGTCTGCTAAATTGTAAAATGAGACACTGTGGCTTGTAGGCCTCTCCAGGTCTCCGTCTAACCATTAGACGACCAGGTGTTGGGCAAAGCTGAAAATTGGACTCATCAGAGAAGATGACCTTACTCTAGTCCTCTACAGTCCAATCCTTATGGTCTTTTGCAAACCCCAGCCTGGCTCTTCTTTGCTTCTCATTGATGAAGGGCTTTTTTCTAGCTTTGCACAACTTCAGCCCTGCCCCTAGGAGCCTGTTTCGAACCGTCCTCGCCGTGCACTTCACCCCATCTGCCATTTGCCATTATTTTTGTAGGTCACTTGATGTCATCCTACGGTTGTTGAGTGACATTCGAATGAGTTGGCGGTCATCCCGGTCAGTAGAGAGTCATTTTCGCCCTCTGCCGGTCTGTAGCTTTGTTGTCCCCAATGTCTGCTGCTTGACCTTGTTCTTATGAACTGCCGTCTTTGAAATTTTAAGGATGGAAGCAACCTGACGCTCACTGTATCCCTCTGCCAGTAAAGCCAGAATTGAACCCTTATTTTCCTCACTCAAAACTTTCCTTTTCAACTCTTTTGGCATGGTCAATAGTTATTTTTTGATTAATATTACTTTTGAGATACTATTAGCACTGTTTTTTTGCCATCCAGCTGGTCCTATTGCAAGAGAATAGTGATGACCACAGCAGTGGTTTTTATACTTTTCCTCGTTAAATAAGATTTGGTTCAGGTGATCACCTAATCAGTACCTAATTCAGTAGAATGAGGTGTGCCTGTGTTGGAATTCAACAGACACTGGAATGGAATGGCTGTCATACATGTAGAGATACTGATTTAAGAAAGTATTGCAGTGGTCTCTTAATTTTTTCCACAGCTGTATATATACATATATATATATACATATATATATATATATATATATATATATATATATATATATATATATATATATATATGTAAATATATGCAAAAACCGAAATAAATGACCCCTTTACATCCACCCACCTACCCCGCTGCTCCCCTTTTTCAGGCTTGAGGAAAATGACAGTCATACATTGAGATAATGTATTGTTCCCTTATATTATAGTATATACCATCATGTTTGCATGCCAGGTGTTGAGGAGCAGGTAATTATATATCTGTGAAATAGGAATGAATATTTCTCTGCTGGGAAAAAGACAAAACAAGTTACATAAAAAAAGTTTAAAGTTTAAAACATCTTAAATGGTGATTTGAATCAGCAATACTACTGTACCATGAATGATAATAAGTATCAAGTATACGATATAACTGATTGAGACATCATATGTCATCTTATGAGACATGGAAATGACTTGGTTATCATCCCGACCAGACCATTACAATGACCCAAGCCAAATCCTGCCTGGCCTGCAAGCGTTACTACACCCAAATCCCAACATCAAGTGAGAGGAAGGGGCCAGGGGGAGAGCTCTGTCTGAAAGCCCAATCACAGTGACTTCAGCTGGGGATGGGGAAGTAGCAGCACAGCAGTGGGCACCATCAGGCCATAATACAAAGTTAATGATGCAGAATGGTGTCTTTTCTCCTGCCCCAGAATAATGTCAATATAGGATGTTTAGGAAAGTTGTACCTAATTACACTTTTTAAATTCACCGCCGACATGATTGATGATTTCAAAGGGAGGCATAATCGATCCACTTTACAGACAAGTCATATTGATTGCAAGTCTAGATTGACTATAACTTCTTTCTCTCTCTCCAATGACAGAGGGACTTTACAATCAACAGAGAATCAATGTGACCTGGTGGGTGTTTCTTAAAAAGCATTTTGATGAAGGCCTTATAGAGGATGTGGCAGCTGTGCAGCTGCTGTATTGTGTTACTGACTGCAATCATCTGTAATGGATTGGTGAATGCTCGGTTGCATTGGCAGCCCCTGCCTGCCTTCTCCCACAGCTACCTCTTGACATGCTCATGTCTCATGCTTATTATTTCATAAACTTTGTTATTCCTCGCCAGCAGCAAGGTTGACAGCATCACTCTAGCAGCTGCCTGTTACGGCACATCTAGTTAGTCTGACTGCTATAGGAGACGCTGGGTAAATTTGACGTGACAGGAGTTACTTTCTGCCTGGAGTCAACATAGATGAGCAAGAGGAATGGAATTCATTGTATGTTATGGGGGAGGTTCCTGGCTTCATTGTTGATGACAATTAAGAAACATTACTGCTATCAAACATCACAGATGCAAGATTGAGAATAGAATGAATTGGAAAATGAACCAGAGCAGAGAAGAGATCTTCTATGACAGTATTCCAATTCCACTTGCCAAGTGCACTTTAAATGGCAACATGGGCTCTACAATAATTTATGATTAAATAGTTTGCAGGCACAGCCATTTTGTTCTTTTTGGAGAGAGCCCTTTCCCTTTTTGAAGGCCAAAGTTAATGCAGTCATAGAAAGAACTCTGATGCACTCCCACATGAAATGGCCATGTGAGGAAAGCCCTGAGGGAGCAAAGGCCTTGAATGAATGTGTGCATGTGTGTGTGTGAGTGTGTGTGTGCGTGTGTGTGTGTGCATGCGTGTGTAAGTCTGTGCGTGTTTGAAAGCGCGCGAGAGAGAGCTCAGTTCAAACATACTGATCCTCAAATATCCTTCAGTTTCTAGTTCCATTGAAAGTCTATCCGAGTGGCGCAGTGGTCTAAGGCACTGCATCGCAGTGCTAGCTGTGCCACTAGAGATCCTGGTTCGAATCCAGGCTCTGTCGTAGCCGGCCGTGACCGGGAGACCCATGGGGCGGCGCACAATTGGCCCAGCGTCGTCCAGGGTAGGGGAGGGAATGGCCGGCAGGGATGTAGCTCAGTTGACAGAGCATGGTGTTTGCAACGCCAGGGTTGTGGGTTCGATTCCCACGGGGGGCCAATATTAAAAATATAATGTATGCACTCACTAACTGTAAGTCGCTCTGGATAAGAGCGTCTGCTAAATGACTAAAATGTAAATATCCTACAGTGAGTGTCTGCTAAAGGCTCTGATTTTGTTGCTCCATCTTTTTCTGCACAACTTTTAGAGTTGGATGATGACAGATTGTGAGCTACCTGATATCCTATATCATCCTCCCCACTGGAGGTGTTTGTTACGCCCTGAGGGAGTCCTGGAAGACTAACAAGCAGCCGGCATGTTTGATGGACTATGAGGAAACATCTGCTCTCTCTTGCTTTACTTGCGAGGAAGGAGACTGAAAACAACATCATAAAATAGAACAAATCAATCGATCAACTACAAATGCACTCCCTTATCCTTAAATTAACCTTAGAGCAGACTTTTGTATAATCAAATCCAATTTTTGTCAACTTCTCTTTGTGAATTAGTAAGTAAGGACATTTAGGCATCGTTGCTGCATATTCCTCAGGATAACATGTTGCTAAAGCCCTGGGTGTTTCGACTGCAGTGTTTTCCAAAACTGGGGTGCATGTGGATAAACAAGTCAGCTCCAAGGGGTAGGTAAATAGCCTTCGGGGACTGACAATCTGTAATGGCAGACTTGTCTGTTGCTGTATTTTTCATGTATATTATCAAGCCATTTTTCTCAGTTTGATGATCCATAGGCCTATATCATCACTAAAAGCTCAAGTTAATTTACTTTCAGTTGACTATTATTTGCCAAAGATAAGCAGCAGAGAGATTGCTATTATGGCCAATAGCAATGGCTCAGAAGACACATTATTTATCATGGATGTAATGCAGAGAGCTGGTAGGTGCTCTTTCTCAGGTGCAGCACTTTACAGTTTTAACATCCCTCTCAAACTGAAGACAGCTTTAAATTGTTTGTGATGTGTCAGCTATTGAATGCATACTTCTACATTATGTGGTTTTCTATAATGTGATCCAAAATTCACAGTTTCCATTGAGGTTGAGACTGAGAGTATTTGACAGGAGATGGCATCAGAAGTCAAGCAAGATCAATGGCGTTTCCTCCTCTTGTTCGCTAGGGGGCGGTAAAGCCAATGGCTCGCCACAATAACATAGCAGAACCTCTTCCACAGACAAAACCACTCTTTGGTTTATCCATCATGGCTGCGCCACTAGTGCAATGTGAAAGTAAACAATCACGCTATGAAGTAACCTTGCGTTTCGGATAGAGTCACCGAAATATGTTGGAATTTCATCGATAACTCGGCGAGATAGCTTTATATCATAAATGGCTTTCCGTGTGAGCATCTCGATTTTCCGAAAATCTGTATATTTTCCGAGAGTCGTTATCAACATCTCTGCGCCACTGTTAAATGTGTCACCGTTTCTCAGAACTGGTCAGTCATCTTCTACCTTATCTGCTTAGCTTTCTCTCAAATTAATAAGCGATCATATGAATGTAATAGCCTTTCTCCCACCCAGAAATATACTATATTTTGTCTGAAACAATACATAAACTGGAATGGGTCTGCAATAATATGATTTTTTGACAGCCATGCCTTATCCAGCTAGCTAGTTATTTCATTTTGAGGAAATAGCTCCATTGATGTCAGGTTACATGCATGTAATTTAGCTATAATTAGTTGTTTAAAAAAAATCTGATTCCTGCGACATTGTGAACTAGGCACAGCCGTTGCATCAGTTACCTGGCAGGGATACGCAGTGATGATGATATTCTCGATGTCTCTTTCTGTTGCTTTGGTTTAGGATGGGCTGCCCGTCGTCCAGGGACCATTAATGGACAGGGTTTTCGCTTCACCCCCGCCTGTTTTATTACATCGGATGCGTTTTTGAGCAGACTGACGAAAGGCAAAGCGGCAGAGACAGATGACGGTCTTTATCACTATCCAGCCTCAGTTCTGGCCGACAGCGGTAATCACAACTGCTGCTGCTGCTTCTGCTGCCTCTGAAAACAAAAGGGGGTTACCTCCGGGCATAATAGTACACGTTCTCCTTATCCAGATGCTGCGTACTGAATGTCTAGACTATAGTATGAATATTACATATGCCCCTGTATTCTGTAGATCTGTATTATGTACCTCATATTTTACTCATATTTGTGATGTCAACCCCTAAACTCTTGTTTCAGCTAAGCAAATATCATTGCTGGTGAAGGATCCAGATCAACCAGAGAACTCAAAGGTTTTAAGTGTGGCCATTATTGGTGCCCCAAATGCTGGGAAGTCCACACTGTCCAACCAACTGCTTAGCAGAAAGGTAGTTCACTTTATTGTACTGGCCAGTTTCTTCAGTTTAAGCTGTAAACATCATGAGTCACTCTGAGTCAGCCTGGAGTGTATTTTCCATTAACACCAGTTTCTTTGAACATGATCTCTCGTAGGGGTTTGCTGTTTCCAAGAAAGTGCATACCACACGGTCCCGTGCCCTTGGTGTTCTCACAGTAGATGACGCACAGATTGTAAGTGAGAATCACCTCTCAGACCATGCATTGAGCAATTTGGCAATTGTTCATTATTTTATCAGGGCCGTGTTACATTATGTACAGTATTAATCAATCAATCAAATGTATTTAGAAAGCCATTTTTACGTAGCAGATGTCACAAAGTGTTATACAGAAACACAGCCTAAAACCCCAAACAGCAAGCAATGCAGATGTAGAAGCACAGTGTCCAATATACAAACTTTATATTTATTAGATAACCACACTTATACATGCATACTTATACATTCTCTCTAGATTTTACTGGACACTCCTGGACTCACTACACCTTCAAAAGTCAAGAGGTGATTTGTTACACCGGTTTCATTACTGTGGTATTGCTGTGCTAAAATGAAATAGGTGAATCTTCAAAGGGGCTATTTATCTTCTCCACAGGCACCAGCTGGAGAAGTCTCTCCTCGAGGATCCTTGGAATACAGTCAAGGAAGCTGACCTTGGTACTGCACGACTCTTCACTTTTTGCAACTTTTCGGGCACACAGATGACTGGTCTAACTCGGCCATTACGCGGCTATTGCTTTTCAGACAGTCTAGTCTATACTTTTTAAACAGTATGTGGTCCCACACATTTTGCAATTCCTTTGAAATAAATAATTTAGTTGGCAAATGACAATGCACTGCATTGACACAAGTGGATCAGGCATGTATATAGAATTAGGAGTGAGTGTCTATGGTCTATGCCATTGTGTTTATGTCCTCTTGTTGTTATGTCTTCAGTGGTGATAATGGTGGATGTGTCGGACAAGTGGGCCTGCAACAAGCTAGACTTTGAAGTCCTTAAATGCCTGACCCAGTACCCAGATGTCCTAGTAGTACTAGTTCTCAATAAAGTACTTCTCTATTTATATAGCACACGTATGCAAACCTCATCCTCTCTCCGTGGCCTTGTCTCAAAGTCAATAATAACACTGATCATATGCACTGAAGTGAGATCGTGGTTGTCATATGATATAATGTATTATTATGATGTAATATACTAGGAACTGTCTACTCTATATGAATTGTCACATGAACCCTCTACTGTGTGTATGGCACAGGTTGACTTGCTGAAGAGCAAGAGCGGGTTGTTGGAGATCACAGCAGATCTGACATGTGGAGTGGTGAATGGGCGGAAGCTGCAGGTCCGCAGTATGATCAAGCCCCCCTGGGCTGAGAGGAGGACGGACAGGGACACCAGGACACCAGGGTCTGGAGATGAGGGTGAGCCAGGTGGTGATGTGGCTCCTGGTGAGTGCAGTGAGGCCCAGTCAGGGCTGAGTAAGGAGCAGCTTAGGGCTCTGAAGACCCAACAGGGCTGGGCCCACTTCAAGGATGTCTTCATGCTCTCTGCTGTGGATAGAGAGGATGTGGAGACACTGAAGGTGATGGTAGCTTATGGTCATATAGGGACTAGAAGCAAATCTGATACCAAGTAGACAAGTACACTCATTGTGGAATAATTAAAGTAATTTAAAAGCCATGGAAAGCAATTGCCTCTATGTTGATGTGTGACAACTAAGATTGCTATTGACATCATGTCTTGTCTGTCTGTCCTACAGAGGTACCTAGTAGTGGGGTCAAAGCCTGGTTCTTGGCAATACCACAGTGATGTTCTAACTGTCAAGAGCTATCTCTTATCCCAGCTTGAGATATATTGTAGGTACAGTGTCAAATCACAATGATTTACTCTTTAGTCCCTAATATATGATGATTATGTGCCAGACATAAACATTGTAGCGTGAATAGAGAAATACTCACGGTAGTACTACCTTTGAAATTATATTAACTATTATTTTCTCGCAATTGCAGTTGATTGACTTGTGACACGACAGGGAGAATGGAGAGCTGGATATAGCAATAAAACTATGTGAAGAAAGAAAGTCACATGGTAAGTGTGCTGCATTTCTCAGTACTATTTCCAATGTTGATTTAGATACAGTGCCCTCTGTAATTATTGGGACAGTGAAGCATTTTTCTTTTCTTTTGGCTGTATACTTCAACATTTTGGATTTGAAATCAAACAATGACTATGAGGTTAAAGTGCAGCTTTAATTTGAAGGTGTTTTCATCCATATCTGTTGAACCGTTTAGAAATTACAGCACTTTTTGTACATAGTCCCCCCATTTTAGGGGAGCAAAAGTATTGGGACAAATTCACTTATATGTGTACTAAAGTAGTCAAAAGTTAGGTGAATAATGATGAGACGCACAAGTATCATACCCACCCCCAAAAATGCTAACCTCCCCTGTTATTGTAATGGTGAGAGGTTAGCATGTCTTGGGGGTATGATATTTGTGTGTCTTTAACTTTCTCACTCATCATTATTCACGATTCATTCAGGATTATCTGTAATCATGGTAGCATCCACATTTATTTACAATAAAAGTGACTCCAAAATGACGCAATACATTACTTACCATTAATTTCTATTGGGCACAAAATAATCTGAAACACAACCAAAACAAAGAGCAAATGCATCCAACAAATTTGTAGAGCCACAAGCTTGATGTAGTCATTGCGTGCTAGGAATATGGGACCAAATACTAAACTATTGACTACTTTAATACACAAATAAGTGAATTTGTTCCAATACTTTTGCTCCCCTAAAATGGGGGGACTATGTACAAAAAGTGCTGTAATTTAGATATTGTTTGGAGTATAGAGCTAAAAGAAGAAAAAATACTTCACTGTCCCAATAATTACGGAGGGCACTGTATATGTCCCCTGTTGTGAAACATGTCAATGAGCACCCCCACCAACCGAACTACCCAGATACTAACGAACACGTGAGAAGCCATCAGTGGAAGAAGATAAAAACAAGAAGGAGAGAAGCAACAGGAACTTTCTCACAGACAGATCGAGGTTCCATGCTCTATGTGTGTGGCCCTTCACACAGGCCTGTCAATGTGTCAATAGATAGTTCATCTGAATCGGCTGTTTTGGACTTCTTCCCCTCCCCCCTTACATCACATTCCCATAGTGATTCTACAGCTTGCTTTTACATCTCTATCAGGGTTGGGGTCAATTCCATTTCAAATCAGTTTATTCAGTTAGGAAGTAAACTGAACATTTCAATTTCTGTTCCGAGCAACGAGGGAAATTGGAATAGGACTTTCAATGTTCTTCCTCAATTGACTGAATTGAAATGGAATTGACCCCAACTCTGATCTGTATCCTGTCACAACCATTTCCCCCTAATGTTAAGAGATTAAGCTGCTCAGCCATGTGTTCTCTGACTGATGAATACATGTGTAGATTAACCGTTTTTTCAGACTTTTGAGCTTCAAGTCACTCTATACCTGGAGTTCTTTAGCCTGTAATAACTTGTAAATATTTGAGCAGACTCCTTTTTAAACCATACTTTTTTCATGTCAGACAGACTGGATGAATGTGAGCCTACATCTGCAGTGGTGCAGCAGTGCTCAGTGATTTAAACTTGACCCTTGATCCCTGCACCAGACTACTCTCTAGTTTTCATTCAGTTAAGTGAATCATGATAAAGTTGAAAGTAATTGATTTACTGTATATTTGGTTGTTAGGACTGAGTGAATATTACAGTATAAATTATTCTTATCTGCTGTGGTAACTGGGGTCCTCTTGTGGATTTAAAACATTGGCATCATATTGAAATGCATGCTCATATTAATATAATGTATTTCATTTCCTCTGTTCTTTAAATGGTGATTGGCCAGGCTGGTCAGATAGTTGCCAGGATAGCCAGAGAGGACCTGAGCATTGTGTTCCTCAGGGAGGTCAAGCTGAGGCTCTCAGTGAAGGTGAAGAACTGAAGAGGATTATGGGAAACAGAGTATTATGATAATCTGGGGCAAACACAGTATTATGGTGGCCTAGTGTGTTGGAAATTAACACTGTTGGAGTTTACGGATTCTTTGGACACAATTTTTTTTTACATTTTTACATTTTAAGTCATTTAGCAGACGCTCTTATCCAGAGCGACTTACAGTTCGTTTTTTTTTTTTACATACTGGCCCCCCGTGGGAATTGAACCCACAACCCTGGCGTTGCAAACGCCATGCTCTACCAACTGAGCTACATCCCTACACTATATTCAATGAGAGATCTGACTGGTTTATATTGCTTGACTGTGGACAAACTGTGCTGCTGAGAGCATGTGAGTGCTCATCATGAGTCAGCTAGTGAGAGTTAACAGAAACACAGAGCGACAGCTCTCTCCCCCTTTTTTTTCCCCCCAGCCTTTTCTACAGTCACTTCTCTCAAGGGTCATCATACTGTATTCTTGCATAAGCATTGCTCTTGAGTAAAGGATGACTTGCATATATTTTTCTTTCAGAGCTTCTGTAACATATTTTCTAGGAATTATAATTTTTACCTCTCTCTTTAAATGGCTATATTTTGGTGTGTGTGTGGTGAGGCAAGCTGTGAAAAGGTTAATGGTTTATTTTAGGCTCCCAGAACCTTCCCCTTGGCAGTAGACTTCTGCCTCACCTGGCCTGCTGATAATTGAACTGGGAGTAGCACAGTCACGTTCTGTATGTCGAATATCCCTGTTGGGGCGGCAGGTAGCTTAGTGGGTAAGAGTGTTGTGCCAGTAACCGAAAGGTCGCTGGTTCTAATCCCTGAGCCGACTAGGTGAAAAATCTGTAAGTCGCTCTGGATAAGAGCGTCTGCTAAATGACTAAAATGTAAAATGTGCTATCCACCCCGTCTCTCTCTCTTTGTCAGCTGACAATAGCATCACTGTCCCCTCAAGCCTTGATTTATAGCCCTTTCACTCGCTCTCTCTCTCTCTTTCTCTCTCTCTCTCTCTCTCTCTCTCTCTCTCTCTTTCTTATTCTCTCTCTCAAAGCAAAACCCCTGAGGACTGAATTGTTTCTCTTTAATGGAAGGCAAAATTGAGCACTAACCTACTGGTAAAATTGAGCACTAACCTGCTGGAAAAATGGAGCGCTAACCTGCTGGTAAAATGGAGCGCTAACCTGCTGGTAAAATGGAGTGATAACCTGCTGGTAAAATGGTTCAGATAATGGTGATTAGGTTCAATTCTCCCCCTCCCTGTAAGTTTGCTCTATGCGCTGTCACTATCCAGGCTATCTTGATGAATAACAAGTGTATGCCCTGTGGCCTAAAGCAAGGCCACAGAGAGGGAGAGAGAGATAAAGAGAGTGAGGGCTGGGGTGTCTCAATGAAGAGAGAGAGACAGTGAGAAGAAAGAAGGGGGGAGAGAGAGGGCTGGGATGTCTCTGTTCACTCTGTGTACAGAAACAGCTGCTCTCCATTGATTACACTCGCAGTTACACTCCTAACAACCGTATGTTTAGTGCAGAATGCTAGAGGTAATCTTCGATTAGACAAACCAACTGCTTTTAAAAAGCTGTACACTGCAAGGAGTATATGAAATTATAAATACATAAAAAACAAATAATAATATGTATGCTTTCAGACAATTTTATATGTGTAACCTGTCAATCCATTGAGGTGGTAACCTTGGTACAGTATTTCACCTTCCGAGTGAGATGTACACCAAGACATTGATAGTCATTCTTTGGTTTTTCATTTGAAACTTTATTTCACAAGTCAACAAACATCTTACAATTAAAATATCAAAATCAGCTCTTAAACACAACTTTGGTTCTTGGTATCACTAAGGTGTTGTAATCAAATGCGACTTCTTACAAGGAAGACAAGAGACCAGTCCACCAGTTTTTAGTTTCCTTTAACGCAACTCCAGGTGACATTGAGAAGCAGCATTAGAACCCTTACCATTACTAAAACTCAGTAATGGTAACGGTTTGAGCGCCACCCTCTAGCTTCCAACCGCCAGCAGCATCTGTCCATGTGTGTACTACTGTAGCTATGACATTGAGAGGCGTCAATAGAACCCTTACCATTGCTAAAACGAAGTAATGGTAACGGTTAGATTGCCACCCTCTAGCTTCCAACCGTCAACAGTGCGTGTGTGTGTGCTGATAGTAGCTGGAGGGGGAATGAGACCCTGGATAGTACATCATCTATACTGTAGTGTCACCATAACGAACTTACAGTATATGATGATATCCTGTCCAGGGTACAAGACCAACAAACAATGTCCCATGATGACTTTGCCTAAATGAATAAACCTGTTGGAAGAAAAAAATATGGATATTACATATTAAATTAATACACAAACAAATATGTACAGAAACAGGGTTGAGTCAATATGTTATCAATGTGTTATAACATATTCTGAGAAGTCAACCACCCGGGGTACGAATACAATATGCATGCTATATTACAGAATTATATTTTCCCAGACAACAAATTCATGCATGATCCACAGAAATGTTAATCAATTTCTTAATCAAATCTATTGAAGTCCTATTGCAAGACTAACCAAGTGCAGGTCCCACATTGCATTATATACCGATACCATGTACATGAGTTCCCTTGATGCAATTGCTTGTGGTTAACTTAAAGAAACCACTTGCAGAGTATCTTAATAGAGGACCTTCTCTAAACCACTAAACATCAGCTCTCTCCCCTAATTATCCCCTTCAAATTAAGCCCAATTGACAGCTTCAGAGGTTTAGCGTGACTGGGTTAAGTGATCAAAATGGCTGTAAATATCACAGAGTGGGCCTTCAAGTGTTCACCTCACCTCCACGTCTGGTCTGTCTGCGTTGTCCTCACTCTCTCCTCTTGAAGAAAAAAGTGTTAATTAAGGGCGTTGGAGGTTTTCTATCACCACGCTGCTCTGGTTTACGACAGCCAGCACGTCTCCAACACCACCACATTGTTCACAGACTCCTGACAGCTCGCAAAGGTCTCCTTTAAGGCCACCAGCTCATTTGCATATGGTGATGACATCAGAGCTGTGGCCGCCTTATCTATCACGCTCTGGGTCTGGTCCCGTTTGCCTCTGACCTAATGATGTGCCCCCACCCCTTCTAATCAGAGCCCAAACAGTTTTGCAACATCAGGTGTTTGACATCTCGTTTGACGCCCCTCCATGCCCCCGTACACACCCATCCCAAAGCAAGTTTTTTGGCCTTATTTTGGCTGGTTTATTTGACCTATCGTTCCAGCTTGCATTTTAAAAGGTGTTTTGTTTAACATATTGTCTAAGTCTCTTTTGTCAACATTCAAACTCACCCAAGCAAACATGACCTATTGTTCAAACATGACCTCCACTGAACTGGTTATTGAAGTCACTGAATGATTCAACAGTATGACTTTAAGAGAACATCCTAAGAAACAGCCAACTGAAATAATTTCTGTCTTAAAACTTTCAAAAATGTGACATATAATATTTGACAGTTCTTCCCCACCACAAATACTTTATAGTTCACGTCATGGCAAATGCAATTGATTGTGTCTTAGATCTTGACTACATCGGGAAGGTTTTCCAACTATCAGCAGCTGATTTCAACTGAATATTATGCAATGACTCTTCTTGATATAAATGTTAGTGGTTTGAATCATCTACATATCAAATATAACTGCAACCATCTTTCAGGAGCATTTATTGTGGTTGGCATTATATTTTCTGCCACAATATTTGTATCATATTTCAACAAAATTGAAATAAAATAAATATGGATGATGCACGTGGGAGGTGTTGGGTGACACGGTTTGGGGGTGAGGACAGAGGTGGGGGCGACAACTTAGCCCAGTTACTGTGGAGACAGGCTCCCCAGTTTGGGCGGGGGACCAGGGGGGTGTGAGTGGTTGGGTCTAGCCTACAGATAAAGACGTTAGCAGGCCTATCTGGGCGGCACCATTGAGGTGCCTGGTGACACTCCAACACTTTATCAGCAAAGAGTTGGAGGGACACCAGGCACCAGAGAATAAATTGAGATTTCTGTGAATTTTACAGCGCATTCAAATAAAAATGTATTTCTGCGGCCAGCCAGACATTAAAGAGTAGGAGGACAAAAACGTAATTTATTTAAGTGTGGAATGATAAATAATAATAATACACATTTGCTTTACTCTGTAAGAATTCAGTTTCACATTTCACATCTAAATCAACCTACATTTGCTCTTAATTTGATGAATTATCTATCAGATGGAATAAATAAATATCCCTAAAAACTGATAATCTTGGGTAATGAATCTGATGCAGTTAATTTTCTAATGTAGTACGATGAAGGAAAGTAAGTTACTATTTATAGACATTCATATAACTGTCCTGTAATGTTCTGTTTTACCTCTACATAACATAAGAGCAGAACATGAGTCTCCAGTCCATACAGGTTCTTTGTAGGCCCTCTTCATATGCTGGGATAAGAGATTTGTATGTTCTCTCAAATATGCAATTCAAATGTAGAATGATTTATCCATTCCTAATATTTTAATTTAATATATTGTTTAATCATACAACCACATTAATAATTCCACCCTCTTGCCTTGAAGACCAAAGACAAATATATTTTTTGTGTCAGCATTTACTACATTAGAGAAGCTCAGAAGTGTTTAGGTATTTAGGTATCATGACGATATTTGTCATAAACAAGCCACATCTCAACGAGCCAGGCCATCCCTGTAGAGCCCAAGTCCAGTCCCCAGACCAGACCAGTGACAGTGTGGTGTGGACTGGAGGTAGTTACTGAGGGATCAAGGTGTCACTCTACACACATCTCTGCATTGACACTCCCTGCCTTCTGTTCTGTGTCTGTCTGGTCAGCCAGTATAATAAAGGAGCTGGAACCAGCTTCCTGTAGTAATGGCAGGCCAAACTGCCCAGGTGATTAGCGCCTGGCCTGGGAGTTGGGGGTTTTGAAGTTGGGGAACCCCAATGCCTAGCTGCCTATACTGAACACCACCCTCCCCCTCCCTGCTCCCCTCTTTTCACACAACAACATGTAGGTTACTCTAAACTGTGTAAAGATCAAAGTGGGGTTCTGATTGATGTCCCAACACACACACACAAACACACACACACATACATACATACACATACACACCTCTGTCTTCCTCCATATGGGAGGAAAAGGTATAGAGGATAGCCACCCTGCCCGCCCTAATCAGACCTCAAGTGCATATCACTGAATTCGAGTTTGGAGTAAATCAGAGAGGGATTAACAACAAGAGCACTGACTGGAGCTCCAAGGCCATGTATCTGCATGAGGAGAGGCCGCTGTGTGGTGACTACCCATACCCACTCAACTCTCAGCCCAAGAACTATGGCTATTGTCCACCAGGTAGGTTTGTGTTTAATGGATAGACAACATGACCAAATGTTTTGGACATGTTGCATTATAGTGTTTAAAAGTCCTAATTGAGCCTAACAATACAGATATTGCTCTTTCCTATTGAGAGGGGTAGCCTATCCCACTGGGCACAGACGTCAACTCCACATCTATTCCACTTTGAAATTACGTGGAAACAACGTTGTGTCAACCAGTGTCTGCCCAGTGGTTATCTATTTATGTAGTCTATTGTCATAGTTTTGTGGACTAAAAAACATAACCCTAATATTTGCTATGAATGACGTAAATAAATACCTTCCACTAGATTGGAAAGATGCGGTTCTGCGGGGCCAGTCTTGGGACAGCGGCGGTAAAGTCGGGTGTGAACCCGAGCTTTCAGCTCTTCAAGTCCGGGTGTCGCTCCAGGGTCGCGAGCTATGGGAACAATTCGGAGATATAGGAACTGAGATGCTCATCACCAAAACAGGAAGGTAGGATGTGTGGATGATAAATAGCGGTAGCCATAGGCCTTCATAATAACCCCTTGTCAGAAATATGAAAAATGAGTGATAGAAATATTATAAATTAATGAAATATGATAGCCTAAAATAATGTAATTTCCATTTGGTGACTGTTTTGGGACATAGGCCTAGTCTCAGAGTCATTCTGTTGAGACATTTTTTTTCAAGGTTGATTATGCGAAGAACCACTATTTTTTTATGAAATTGAATAACCGATAGTAATATGGGGCACAAAGTAACACGTTGTCTTTTGCTTATTTATGAAAATTGTATTTGATTTATTAATAATGTTTTATACAAGCAACATACATATCTCAGCTACCATTACACACTGTAACTACATTTCTAGAACATACCAGTCCTTTACAAGTCAACAGAAAGTGGCAGAAGTCAAAAAGTACAATTAACCCCGTAGGCGGCGTAAGAGTAGTCTGAGTACCAGTCTCTTTAGCTAACGTTCCACTCCTTGTCATTGCCAAAGAGACTGGCCTTTCCAATGTCTATCTGCAGACTGCGGTTACCACACTGAACAAAAATATAAACGCAACATGTAAAGTGTTGGTCCCATGTTTCATGAGCTGAAATAAAAGATCCCAGAAATTTTCCTTACACACAAAAAGCTTATTTCTCTGAAATGTTGTGCACAAATTTGTTTACATCCCTGTTAGTGAGCATTTCTCCTTTGCCTAGATAATCCATCCACCTGACAGGTGTGGCATATCAATAAGCTGATTAAACAGTATGATTATTACACAGGTACACCTTGTAATAAAAGGCCACTCTAAAATGTATAGTTTTGTCACACAACACGAGCCTCGAAAATAGAATTAGAATTTATAACAAATTCTAAAACAAACATTTAGCTGGTAGCTAGGCAAGTTGTTGTATTTTGACGATTAAAACTAAGACATTTTGTGGTTGGCATTTACTTTGAGAATTTAGAGGCCAGCTAGCATTTTTTTTTACCATTAGTACCTCAGTGCTTTTGATAGACTGGTTTTTAATCTGGACAAATAAAAAACGGTTGCTTAGCAACTGGATTCCAACGTGGTCTGTGGATAAAAAAGTTATGAGTTCCAATATTTGCATAATCGTTGTGATTGGAGGATAGCGGTGATCGAATCAGGATCAAATCCTCTGTTCTCCTCCAGTTCATTAATTCTAGAATGTTCATATTTAAAGATGGCAGAAAGGCCAGTCTTTTTGGCACATGACATGGACTACAGGGAGTGGATTAGCTAAAGACTGGTACCAAGGCTAGGGTCAGAGGCGTCATGCCCAAAGGGGGCACAGGAGCATGTGCCCTCAGATTTGTTCCGTAAAGAAAATAAAAATAGAAAAAATAAATACACACACACATATATATATATATATATATATACAGTGGGGAGAACAAGAATTTGATACACTGCCAATTTTGCAGGTTTTCCTACTTACAAAGCATGTAGAGGTCTGTAATTTTTATCATAGGTACACTTCAACTGTGAGAGACGGAATCTAAAACAAAAATCCAGAAAATCACATTGTATGATTTTTAAGTAATTAATTTGCATTTTATTGCATGACATAAGTATTTGATACATCAGAAAAGCAGAACTTAATATTTGGTACAGAAACCTTTGTTTGCAATTACAGAGATCATACGTTTCCTGTAGGTCTTGACCAGGTTTGCACACACTGCAGCAGGGATTTTGGCCCACTCCTCCATACAGACCTTCTCCAGATCCTTCAGGTTTCGGGGCTGTCGCTGGGCAATACGGACTTTCAGCTCCCTCCAAAGATTTTCTATTGGGTTCAGGTCTGGAGACTGGCTAGGCCACTCCAGGACATTGAGATGCTTCTTACGGAGCCACTCCTTAGTTGCCCTGGCTGTGTGTTTCGGGTCGTTGTCATGCTGGAAGACCCAGCTACGACCCACCTTCAATGCTCTTACTGAGGAAAGGAGGTTGTTGGCCAAGATCTCGCGATACATGGCCCCATCCATCCTCCCCTCAATACGGTGCAGTCATCCTGTCCCCTTTGCAGAAAAGCATCCCCAAAGAATGATGTTTCCACCTCCATGCTTCACGATTGGGATGGTGTTCTTGGGGTTGGAGTCTGTTTGATTGAGTGTGTGGACAGGTGTCTTTTATACAGGTAACAAGTTCAAACAGGTGCAGTTAATACAGGTAATGAGTGGAGAACAGGAGGGCTTCTTAAAGAAAAACTAACAGGTCTGTGAGAGCCGGAATTCTTACTGGTTGGTAGGTGATCAAATACTTATATCATGCAATAAAATGCAAATTAATTACTTAAAAATCATACAATGTGATTTTCTGGATTTTTGTTTTAGATTCCGTCTCTCACAGTTGAAGTGTACCTATGATAAAAATTACAGACCTCTACATGCTTTGTAAGTAGGAAAACCTGCAAAATCGGTAGTGTATCAAATACTTGTTCTCCCCACTGTGTATATATATATATAGTCTACCAACAAAGTCTACCAACATTGCCAGCAGGTATGCCAGCTAAGATAGTTAGACAAGCTAGCTACTCTAACTTGATCGATAGCCTGAAATGACTTCTTGGTAGCTAGTGGCTAGTAGTTTTACAGAGATGCAGAGAAGCATATTTAGTTGCAAAAAATACAAAAAACACCAGTCAGGAGGATACAGACAGCTCGAGAGGTATACTTAGATATGAAGAAAAATTATATATATATTTATACATAGAATTAAGCATAATGATGTCTCTAGATTGCAGGAAAAAGCTGTTTGGGGTATTTGAATAATGCTACATTCTCCAATTTACGGACGGGGGGCATAGCCTCCCTACGGACCACCCTCCAGCCATCCTCACGTACTTTGTGTGCCCTCAGATTTTTGGGGTGCATGAGACTACATTGACACTACATTGACTAAAATATATGTTTTAGGCATGTCATATTGACCAAAAACGGAGTAGCCAAAATGTATATACACTGCTCAAAAAAAAAAGGGAACACATCCTAGATCTGAATGAATGAAATAATCTTATGAAATACTTTTTTCTTTACATAGTTGAATGTGCTGACAACAAAATCACACAAAAATTATCAATGGAAATCAAATGTATCAACCCATGGAGGTCTGGATTTGGAGTCACCCTCAAAATTAAAGTGGAAAACCACACTACAGGCTGATCCAACTTTGATGTAATGTCCTTAAAACAAGTCAAAATGAGGCTCAGTAGTGTGTGTGGCCTCCACGTGCCTGTATGACCTCCATACAACGCCTGGGCATGCTCCTGATGAGGTGGCGGATGGTCTCCTGAGGGATCTCCTCCCAGACCTGGACTAAAGCATCCGCCAACTCCTGGACAGTCTGTGGTGCAACGTGGCATTGGTGGATGGAGCGAGACATGATGTCCCAGATGTGCTCAATTGGATTCAGGTCTGGGGAACGGGCGGTCCATAGCATCAATGCCTTCCTCTTGCAGGAACTGCTGACACACTCCAGCCACATGAGGTCTAGCATTGTCTTGCATTAGGAGGAACCCAGGGCCAACCGCACCAGCATATGGTCTCACAAGGGGTCTGAGGATCTCATCTCGGTACCTAATGGCAGTCAGGCTACCTCTGGCGAGCACATGGAGGGCTGTGCGGCCCCCCAAAGAAATGCCACCCCACACCATGACTGACCCACCGCCAAACCAGTCATGCTGGAGGATGTTGCAGGCAGCAGAACGTTCTCCACGGCGTCTCCAGACTCTGTCACGTCTGTCACATGTGCTCAGTGTGAACCTGCATCTGTGAAGAGCACAGGGCACCAGTGGCGAATTTGCCAATCTTGGTGTTCTCTGGCAAATGCCAAACGTCCTGCACGGTGTTGGACTGTAAGCACAACCCCCACCTGTGGACGTCGGACCCTCATACCACCCTCATGGAGTCTGTTTCTGACCGTTTGAGCAGACACATGCACATTTGTGGCCTGCTGGAGGTTATTTTGCAGGGCTCTGGCAGTGCTCCTCCTGCCTGCTCCTCCTTCCACAAAGGCGGAGGTAGCGGTCCTGCTGCTGGGTTGTTGCCCTCCTACGGCCTCCTCCACGTCTCCTGATGTACTGGCCTGTCTCCTGGTAGCGCCTCCATGCTCTGGACACTACGCTGACAGACACAGCAAACCTTCTTGCCACAGCTCGCATTGATGTGCCATCCTGGATATGCTGCACTACCTGAGCCACTTGTGTGGGTTGTAGACTCCGTCTCATGCTACCACTTGAGTGAAAGCACCGCCATCATTCAAAAGTGACCAAAACATCAGCCAGGAAGCATAGGAACTGAAAAGTGGTCTGTGGTCACCACCTGCAGAACCACTTCTTTATTGGGGGTGTCTTGCTAATTGCCTATAATTTCCACCTGTTGTCTATTCCATTTGCACAACAGCATGTGAAATGTATTGTCAATCAGTGTTGCTTCCTAAGTGGACAGTTTGATTTCACAGAAGTGTGATTGACTTGGAGTTACATTGTGTTGTTTAAGTGTTCCCTTAATTTTTTTGAGCAGTGTATTATATATAGGATACTTTTAACATTCAAAAGTATTAATTTTATTTTTTCCTTTTTCTAAGGTATTATCTTAGTTGTAATTGCAAACTTGATGTAAAGAAGTGACATTTTATATAATTATGTGAATGTTTCTAAATACCATTTAAAATACCATAGAATTTTAGATAAGAGGTTAATTGTAACAAATGTTCAAAATTGCCCCCACTACAAATCTGAGTTTAATCTGAGTTTTGTGAGAAAATTCAACAATAATTATTGTCATTAGCTATACCAATCAAAATACCTCTTCTTACTGATAAAAATTATATATTAAAAAAAAGAGGGTCGGCAAGAATATTGAGAATTCTTCCTGAAAAATTGATGGATTTAAGCAAAAGTTCCTAGGCATGTAGATACACTAATCAAGCATTAGCACATTGAATAACATCTTTGACCTTTCTACGTGGTTTCTAATTTGAGTTTAGTTGTTACTTTGTGCCCTGTGTTACTTTGTGCCCCGGTCTCTCCTAACCAGTTAGTTCAATATTGTTCAAACTTCCCGCCTGATTGTATTTCATAGGCGAATGTTTCCGAGCTGCAGAGTCACTGTGACAGGGTTGAATCCTCGAGCAAAGTATGTGTTGATGATGGACATGGTCCCGTTTGATGACGACAAATACAAGGTACCTCACCCTACCCCTCCCAGCATTAGTCTACTGTTTATTTAAATGTTGCTACCACAACACACACACACAAACGCACACTAAAATTGTAGATTAGTGTTTGTGTTTAGATTGATAAGCTTCAGAAAAATATGTTAGATTCAAAACTGCAGAAGGTGCTTGTTATCAATGTGTATAGACACTAAACTGTATCTCTGTCCTGTGCAGTGGAGCAGGGATCGCTGGGAGGTGAGTGGTATGACCGAGCCCCACCTTCCCAACCGCTACTTCATCCACCCAGACTCTCCCTCCCTGGGGGAGAGGTGGATGCAGTACCCTGTTTCCTTCCATAAGCTCAAACTCACCAACAACACCCTAAACTCCAATGGCCTGGTAAGGCTTGGCATGGAAGGACCCTGGCACTATTTATAACATTTAAAAAAGAGCTGATAGCCACTGAATGTAACTTAAAGCTGCAATATGTAATGTTTTGGGCAACACAACCAAATTCACATAGAAATGTGAGTTATAGATCTGTCATCCACGTTGAAAACAAGTCTAATAAGCGGTAGATCTGTTCTATGTGCGCTGTTTCTATGCTTTCTCGTGCTTAAGTTTAGTTTTAGCCTCTTTTACTTTCAGTTTTGTACATCAGCTTCAAACAGCTGAAGGTACTATATTTTTGGTTATGTAAAATACATTTCACAGCAGTTTAGATGGTACAATGATTCTCTACACTATACTTGCTTGTTTTGTCACATAAATTGAAATTAGGCAAACTATTAGAATTTTAGCAAACCCTGAGCCGACAGAAAAATCTGTAGATGTGCCCTTGAGCAAGGCACTTAACCCTAATTGCTCATGTAAGTCGCTCTGGATAAGAGCATCTAGTAAATGACTAAAATGTAAACATAATTACAAATCATTTGTAGACTGCAAATTGACTGCAAGAAGATATAATGTTTGACTAAAACATAATCATTCAAACCTTGTATGCGATCACGTGTCTCTCTATTATGTGTGGGAATACTTGGGAACATATTTCTTAAATTAAAATCACTTGGAGCTGGTGTTTTACAGTCTATTATGTCCAACAAGTAAACAAAAAAGATATATGTTAATTTTTTATCTGAAAACTTGGGGGGCCAAATAAAACCATTTGGCCCGCGGGCCGCCAGTTGGAGAACCCTGATGTTGGATGAGATGGAGAGTATGTGTTGACAGGCACAGTAGTAACAGGTATCATCATATGTTCTGCAGGTGGTTCTTCACTCCATGCATAAGTACCAGCCCCGCCTGCACATCGTCCAGTCTCCAGACCCCTACAATCCTCTGTCAGGGGGCTACCTGCGCTTCACCTTCCCAGAGGCAGCCTTCATAGCTGTCACTGCCTACCAGAACTCCGAGGTAAGGCCAGGACACCCTTGGGATTCTCCCAGAAGGAGATACTGGAACAACTCTAATCCAATTGTGTTGATTAGAGTGTCCTCTGGAAGTTGAATATGGACAGTGCTTGTAAAGTCTGGAATGTGAAATGCTGCTACAGAGAGCATAATAAGAGCACAGCGGTTGTTGAGGGGAGAACGGCTCATAATAATGGCCAGAATGGAGCACATGGAATGGCATCAAACACCTGGAAGGCCCAAAAAATTGTCAAAGACTCCAGTCACCCAAGTCATAGACTGTTCTCTCTGCTACCGCACGGCAAGCGGTACCGGAGTGCCAAGAGTACTGTGTCCAAATGGCTCCTTAACAGCTTCTACCTACAAGCCATAAGACTGCTGAACAATTAATAAAATGGCCACCCGGACTATTTACATTGACCCCCCCCCCCCCCCCCCCCTTTGTTTTTACACTGCTGCTACTCGCTGTTTATTATCTATGCATGTACAAATTACCTCGACTAACCTGTACCCCCACACATTGACTTGGTACCGGTACCCCCTGTATATAGCCTCGTTATAGTTATTTTATTGTGTTAAAACATTTTTTAAAACTTTTGTTTATTTAGTAAATATTTTCTTAACTCTATTTCTTGAACTGTATTGTTGGTTAAGGGCTTGTAAGTAAGCATTTCCCGGTAAGGTCTACACCTGTTGTATTTGGCGCATGTGACAAATACAATTTGATTTGATTTGATTTGTTTGATGCATTTGATACCATTCCACTATTCCGCTCCAGGCATTAGAACGAGCCCATTCTCCCCAATTAAGGTGCCACCAACCTCCTGTGGTGTACAGTACTATAATAAATGAGGCATGCTAATTTACCCAACAGATAACAAAACTCAAGATAGACAACAACCCCTTTGCAAAAGGCTTTCGTGACAATGGGCTGAACAGAAAAAGGTAAGAGACCTTCAGACAGCCTTCTAGTAGCTTGAAACATGAACTGCAACTCTCACTTGAAAGTGATGCAATACTCCTCCCAGTATGACTCAGAATAACTATCAAATTTGTTGGTCAGTCATATAGTCTTCAATAGGTTCCTCTTGGTAAACCTTTTAATTGTTTGCTCAGTGGTAGATATGATGATTGTGCAGAATTGGAATGGTACTTAGTCGACTCACTGATCAATTAAGTGACATGTTCTTTTACACTTTACTGGTACATGTCACTATCATGTTACTAAGAGACTGTGAATAATGACAATACTTTCTCTCTGTAGGTTCAGAGAAATGGAAGGTCAGAGCTCCGACAAACTAAATGAACTCCAGATGGAATTGAAATCTTCAAATGGTATAGTCACATACAGAGTTTATAACAGAGTTTATGCAAATATCTGTAAAGGAAATTGTAAACATTACACCTAATTTCTAAAGAACTAATTTCTATCTTATACAATGAAAAATCTAGCTATGATAGTCAAGCCAGCTGTCTATTGATCTTGCCTAACATGGGAAAAGGAAACTGCTTAAGAAAATAGCCAGCAGGTGTCATTATTTCCTTTTGAGACAATCAAAAGACTGTAGTAGGCTATCTACGTAGTCATTCTATACCCGTCCTCTAAAGTTCATTTGAGAGAATTTTAAAGAGTTCGTCAAAGTGGAAGGTGAAGGAATCTCCATGCATCGTCTCTCCTTACTGTTCTAGCATCTGAGCCTGTATTCATAGTGTCTCAGAGTTGGAGTGCTGATCTAGGATCAGTTTGCCATTTAGATAACGATGAATACGATTACATGGATCCTAGATCAGCTCTCCTTTTCTGAGACACTAAATGAATACGGGCCCTGTTCTGTTCTGTCCTGTCCTTATTGTCTTGGTAGGATCCAGACCAGTGGAGTCAGATGATGAGGCTGACGTCATCGTCTCCAGCTCTAGCTCAGTGAATTCCCATGGTGCAGCAGGATACAGGACTGATGACATCACGTCTGTCTCTGCTGCCCCTAACCCATTCATCTCTGCCTTCATGAACTGTGGCCAGGAGGGTTGGGGGGTCCAGGACCCAATGACCCACAACACCCACACACACAACACACCTACTACCAGGGACTATGGCAGGTAGGATGATCAAGACCATTAGTGGCAGAAACATCAATTTTTTTCTATCTTAAAAGTGTATTAAATCAAATCATCAGCAATGAATTATGAACGAGAATCATAATTCTTCTTATCAGTCCAGTATTTCTATAGGATGATGATTTGATAAAAATAAAAATAATAATCTGAAACTGTACTCTGTTGTTCTATTTCAGCCCTGGGCAGCATAACGAAGCCAGGCATACTGGTTTATCAAACATGGCTTCTCCTCTCTTCCTCCCACACCCTCCACTGGGCCAGACTCACCACCCAGGGTCTGTTGGCTTCAGGAGGCCCCAGGCACAGAGCAGAAAACCAGTGGGGCCTCACCCTCCTCACCACCGAGGAGGTCCAAGTGGTCCAGCACCAGAACTCTCCCATAGCCACAGCCACACATCAGACCACCAGGCCCAGCAGCAGCAGCCACAGCCCCATCAGGCTGAGTTCGACTACCCTCTCCCCCTGCCCCCCAAGGTCAACAGGATGCATCTACCTGAGAGTGCCCTGCGTAGCCTGGAGATGAGCCCCTCCCCCTCAGTGTCCGGCAGCCCTCGGTCCCTCACCGACATGCTCAACAGGATCCACAGCAGGGCAGGGTCTGGAATCAACTCAGGAATCCCCCAGGGGAAGCTGCTCCAGGCCCAGGCCCAGTATGAGAGGCCAGGCCTGGAGCTGGGGGTGGACAGGGAGCTCCGGCCACCACAGCCCAATCCACCACTACCTGATCATGAGCCAGAGTACCTGCCTCTCCACAGCATGATGCTCTACCACCAGAACAGCTTGATGGGCTCTGCGGGGCCACTAAGAGACAGCCATGTGGACCCTAGAGTTCCCTCCTCCTCCTCTCTAGAATCCCCCCCTACAAGGCACCTATGCTCAACTTATAAGTGATCTCTTGTTCAGTAAACACAACAGGTCAGGTAGACATGAACATTTCCCCCCACCACTTGTGGACATCTAGCAACATCTCTGGGTAGAGTTGAGGCAAATTAATATGCAATATTGAGTCATTCCAAGCTAACTTTATAGTTAATTTCTCTTTGCTATGTTAGACGTTATTTTTCAGTTGTAGAATAGGGAAGTGGTTTGCTAGGATAAGGAACTGGGGACTCTTTTGCCCTGACATTAGATTTTTATAATTTGTAAGGGGAACTAATAACTATGCAATAGATTTGCATCATGTCTTAACCGTCAACATGTTTCCCCTCTTTCTTGGGACATTGTAATTAACAGTAAATAATGAGTGAGATTATATGTGAGATGTGTATGCAGAAGAGCAGTGGCTTATCAAACATACAAAATGAAATGTAGACTCCTGATGTTTTGATGTTAAGACTGATAACATTAGCCCTATCCATGCTGTATGTATCATTGTCATGCTAGAAAAGTTGGCTACAGCACATAAAGCTTGGGAGTTATGGGAAGAGGATGATGGAACAGGCCACTGGTAACTCATTCTCTGAAAGAATACTGAGGTGGCAGAACATTTATTACAGGGAAGCGCATAATAACACTTCGCAACAGTGAGACTGGAGGATGTTTCACATGTTTACATGCTGAAATATCCATTCGGGACCAGTTTTCCAGTATTATGTAATGTAACAATCTATATAAATCCAAAATAGACAAATTCACACAACCACATTTATTGAGTCTGAATAGATATTGTATATTTCAATAATGCACATCCCCTTAACTTCTTCCACATTTTGTTACGTTACAGCCTTATTCTAAAAAGGATTAAATTGTTTTTTTCCCTCATCAATCTACACACAATGCCCCATAATGACAAAGCAAAAACAGGTTTTAATAAATGTTTGCAAATGTATCAAATCAAAAAAAGGAAATATCACATTTACATAAGTATTCAGACCCTTTACTCAGTACTTTGTTGAAGCACCTTTGGCAGCGATTACAGCCTCAAGTCTTCTTGGGTATGACGCTACAAGCTTGGCACACCTGTATTTGAGGAGTTTCTCCCATTGTTCTCTGCATATCCTCTCAAGCTCTGTCAGCTTTTTTGTCCTAGAGAGATTTACACGGTTATCAAAACGTCACCCCAGGTTAACCCTACACGAAACACAGCCCTTATTTTAAGTGTTTCTAAAATCCCCTACAGGAAAAATGAATGGTGGAAAAACTATTGAAACCATTTCCTTGTTTGACCGCTAGTTTTTAAGGGTATTATGACTCATACTATGATAATCTCTATCTCTGGAGGTACTCAGATCCAGACTCATTGCGGAGAACATCCATGGGCGTGGCATAGCGCTTGGCCAGAGCAACACTGGTTCAGCAAGTGGCTAGATTTCCCCTAAATGCTAAAATGTATTGTCATAAAATAAAAACGACATAAAATGAACTCCAGTCCAACTCAAACGTGTCTAAACAAACTGAAATGTCTTCTTGTGTTTAAAGCACATTGGGTAAGGAATGTGGAGACTGATAAATGATTGGATGGTCAACAGGTCGTGGCAGCATTGCATTCCTAGTGAAAGATATCAAGCAGCACCTTGTAAAATCCTGAAATTAAGGAGTCTGGTAAACTGTAGAGATAAATCCTTTATAAATGAATATGTAATTTAAGAATGGAACCATAATATAATATAACACAACATCGGCTACCCTAAGAGACTGAAATGCATATTATGTCATATGATGCCTCAATAGTCGGAAAGAACTAGAACAATTATTAAAGCTTAGATTGATTGAGGTAATCCAGATGATCAGGAAAGCTAGCAAGACTCCTGGGTCTCTATATTAAGGCTAATCTTGACAGTATATGGCTTCATACAGACATGTAGATCCATGCACACGTGTTCATGTGTATGCTTTCTGTGTCTTACATGTCTTGTCCTAAGAAGGCACATCTCTCCCATACCAAAGATGAAGAATGAAGTGAAGATTCTAGTAAAGAAAAAAGCAGATGATATGAGGATGGGGGAGGACAACATTTCTATATCTCTCATTGAGTTTCACTGTCGTATCACTAAACTTTTTGAATTGCCAACCATTACTTTTCCTGAGGTTTGGCCACTTGGTTGGTAAACAGGCACTGACTGCACGTAAGAATGAAAAAATAAAAATGGGTGACAAAATACTTGCACAAGTAACTGTAAAAAAAACATGGGCACATCCAAGGTACTAAGTGTAACAAAATGAAAAAAACTACATAGACACAAGGTGAAGACCTGGCAAGATCTTTCAGACCAGAATAAGGCCTGCACAGAACAATCAGGATGAATGCCCCTTTTCTACAATGTAGACGAGTGTAAGTAGAACACAATGGGGGTAACTACTTAAAAACAAAACATAAAAAGGTTTGCTTTTTTTTGATCTTTAAAAAATAACATTCAGTTGTCCATGCAGATGATCTGGTCCTATAAGCTAAGGCACCAGGGGTCTAGGAAATGAAAACGACTTGACTCTTTTGTAGTAAAAAAACAACTCTTGGATTCAAGTGTTTCTTGTTGATTTAAAGAGTGCATAAGAGAGATGAATTGGAGTCAGGGTGCACGGGATTGTTTTCATGCTTGAGGGTTGGTCACCTTCTGAAGCAAAGGGATCTGTGGGATGATAAGAGAGAGACTGGGTTAGCTGCAGCCTTCACTGGAGCAATGGAGAACCCTGTGATGTAGTGAGAATCAACAGGTTGGCCCATTGCCATCACCTGGCTATCTGCACATTACTCAGGCTTTATCCCAAAAATTTACATAGCGAATAGAGTGCTATTTGGGACGCAGCCACAGAGTGATGAAACTGAGTGTAGTCCGAGAAGAAACATGGTGGGGATCTGTAGGGAGTATGCTCTGGAATGACTGCAATTCAACATGGACTTCACACCAAAATTGTACTTCTATTGTGTGCAAATGTTTCTGCATAGGCCTACTGTAGTTTCAGCGTTATAAACATAGCTAGCTGAGGTTGGATAGATGGAATGTGTTCACGCCTGCAGTGCCTATGAGTATGGGCGGGGTATCACTCTCTACATTCTACTGACCCCCTTGGAATGTGACCGACCCCTTCCCTTCCCTCCTCCCCTCCCCTCCCCCCTCATCCCTCACCTTCATCAGGTCCACCCCTGTGAGGGCATTGACGGACACGGGGAGCTCAGCCAATAGGCGGTTAACCTCGCCGGTCACACGACCACCGTCCCCGCTCAGGATGACGATCTCATTGGTCTGGGCCAGGGGTGCCGCCACCTTGCCAGCGATCTGTACCAACACAATGACACAAACCTTCTTCACCTGGGTGTTCATCTGAGACAACTCAGCCTCTAGTTGTCAAGTTTAAACCAAATCAAATGGTAACACTGAAAACATTAATATATTTATCAAATCTTCAATTTTTTCATGTCCAAAAACCGACACACACATTATACCAATGTGCAGCTCTATGACAACTCCTTCTAACCACAACACTACGTATAAAGTGTTAAATGCCCCTCAGTCCTGACACACTGACCTTAGGCAGGGCCTCTAGGACCAGAGCAGTCTTGGCAGCCTCTCCATAATGCTGGTAGGCCTCAGCCTTCAGCCTCATCTTCTCAGCCTCAGCCTTCCCTATAGCCTCTATGGAGCCGGCCTCTGCCTCTCCGATACGACGGATCTTCTCTGCCTCCGCTTGGGCCGTCAGCACCTTCTTCATCCTGTTCAGGGGTTGGCAGGAGGGCATGTAAAGGGTTCAACTCCAACAATATAATTGGATTGCAGACTAGATTGCATTGAACTACAGTATGAACATATGCTACACACCTAGATCATAGCTATAATTTGGTTTAAACCACATCACTAAGGATCTATCATGGTCCACATACACCAACACAGTCGTAAAGAGGGCACGACAATGCCTCGTCCCCCTCAGGAGGTTGAAAAGATTTGGCATGGGCCCTCAGATCCTCAAAAAGTTATACAGCTGCACCATTGAGAGCATCTTGACTGGCTGCATCGCCGTATGGTATAGCAACTGCTTGGCATCTGACCGCAAGGCGCTACAGAGGGTAGAGCGTACGGCCCAGTACATCACTAGGGCCAAGCTTCCTGCCATCCAGGACCTCTATACCAGGCGGTGTCAGAGGAAGGCCCTAAAAATGGTCAAAGACTCCAGCCACCCAAGTCATGTACTTTTTTCTCTGCTACCGCACAGCAAGCGTTACCGATGCACCAAGTCTGGAACCAACAGGACCCTGAACAGCTTCTACCCCCAAGCCATAAGACTGCCAAATAGTTAAATACTTAACCGGACTATCTGCATTGACCCTTTTTGCACTAACTTTTTTGACTCATCACATATGCTGCTGCTACTGTTTATTATCTGTCACTTTATTTCTAGTTATAGATTTCCCCAGGAACCCTCCAGGGTCTGCAGAATGACAACATTGTCAGCTAGATAATTAATACACTAACACATAATCTGAGCAACATCAACATCATCTGGTTAGCACTTCAGACACATAACTACAGTGTTTACTCTAAGTGATTATTGGTTATTTCTTAAAATGCCATTTATGCAAATTATACGTAGTTATTTTATTCCCAAAAATGTGTACATATCTACCTCAATTACCTCGTACCCCTGCACATCGACTCGGTACCTGTTGTTTACGAAGCATGTGACGAATACAATTTGATTTGATTAGCTACTACTGCAAGTGTGAGACGAAGTTGCCCCTACACACTGATCAGTTTTGTATTTTGGTAAAGATTTTGAAAAGGCTAAGCTTATCCTAGACCTATGTCTGAGTGGAACTTACTTGTTGCATAGATGGTTGAAAGGTAGACACTCTAGGCTCCCGTGGTGGTTTACTCACTTCCTATTTGTATGACACCCTGCTTTGCATCCAGAATCTGAACGAGCATACACATTGTGCTTATTTTACATGCATTCTGGGAGCGGATCAGTGATTGGTCACTCACTTCTGTCCCTCGGCCAGCTGCTGCATCTTGTAGGCCTCAGACTCGGCAGGCCTCTTGACCGTGGCGATCAGCTCCTTCTCAGTGCGATCAATCTCCTTCTCCTCGATGGTGATTTGCTTCTTCCTCTGAACCACCTCGATCTCTATCTCCTCCAGACGGATCTTCTGCTGCTCCTTGGCAGCCTGCAGCTCGTAGGCCAGCTGGGCCTCTGCTTTCTGGGGGGGAGAAAAGGCAGCGGTGATATTCACCAGGAATTAAATGGAATCCAACGTGCTGAAACGAAAAGGGACTACCTGAACTTGTCCAGGTAGTTTCTTTCCTGTTGCAAAACGTTTTGCTTTGGTGTGCACTAATGAATATGACCAGGGTGAATCTCTTATAAAGGATTAAAAGGCTTTCACATTAGGCCTAGATTTGATGTCATCGATTGACTGCTAGGTGAATCTAATCTAGAGCAATGATACCCATGTCTGATACCTTCGTGTTGACTTCTTGATTGAAAGCAGCCTTCTGCATCTCCAACCCTCGCTTAGAGTCGGCCATCTTGGTGTCTGCTTGGAACTTGATGTCCATCATCTCTTTCTTACATTCTGCTTCCTGTAGGGGGCAGAGACCACAAGGTGAGAAGAGAAGGGAAGATTCAGTGTAGTAAAGACTAACATGAATACTGAGTGCGATGTACTGCAACCCATTCAGGGAATCTACTTGTTCGCAGTATATTTCTTACCCTGATTCCCGCGTCTCTCTCTGCCTCGGCCACTCCGATGTCTGCGTCTCTCTGTACTGCAGCTGTCTGACTCTTCCCCAGGGAACTAAGGTACTCCACTTTATCATAAACATCCTGACAGGGACAAAACACAGAGGCACTCAGTCATTGTGTGGCAAGTGGTGTCACTATAAGTGTATAAAGCTGTAATAGGATGACTGTGCCCGTCTCTCACCTTGATGGTGAAGCTGAGGATCTCGATGCCCATGCGGCCCACGTCAGGCGCTGCCACCTCCCTCACCAGAGCAGCAAATCTGTCTCTGTCCTGGTAGATCTGCTCCACCGTCAGAGTGCCTGGAACACAGGTCTAGGGTCAGTGTCTGGGTGGGTCACTAACCACAGACAGATATGGATTCATCTATCTGAAGTGGTGATTTATTTAAATTAGTTGTACATTGTAAAATTGTTAGTATCCTATATCAGAGTTAAACCAGAGCCTAAGGGTCTGAGTAGTACATGCATACATTATATGGTTTTAAGTTCTATGGCATGACCTAATAGTAATACATCTCATCTGAGACCCAATAGTACTGAGCAGCAGCCCGTGTCTCTGTCAGAAGGTCCCTACCGAGAATAGAGCGTAAATGACCCTCCAGGGTCTGCAGAATGACACTCTTTATCTCCATCACAGATTTCCCCAGGAACTGTTCACAGGCATAGCCCAGCAGCTCATTGTCTACCATCACCTTCACCTGGAGCCAGGGTAATAGACAACATTGTCAGCTGTTAGCTAGATAATTAATACACTGACATCATCTGAGTAACATAAACATAATCTGATTAGCACTTCAGACACATAACTACAGTGGTTAATCTAGGTGATTATAGGTTATTTCTTAAAATGCCATGTATGCAAATTAACTTAGTTATTTTATTCCCTAAAATGTGTACATACTCTGTAGTTATATTTCTAAACAGCATAATATTATCACCACTCATTTATAAACTCTCCCTACAGTGGCCTGCACAACCCTTCCATGTGATCCCCTTATCTACCTCCTAGCCAAGTATATTTCAACTCCACGATACCGCATCCGCGGAGATGAGTGCAGACTAGAGTTTTTGTAGTGAACCTCCGACTCCTTCGAGTCGCTGTGAAGTCGATGCTTCAAAAATTGTAATTCTTAAATCCTTACCATGTACCTATGTTTGTCCTCTGTTGTTGCGTGCCTTTTTTTGTTTGTTGAAATCCATACTTTTTAATAAAATGTTAATCAAATACAACCACCGACTGTGTCCTCATTGCTGTTGCTCTAAGATGGCAACTCAGCGCGATTGAATCTCAATGAGGAAACAGTCGTGGTTATATTTGGTTAATGTTTTATAAAAAAATATGGATTTCAGCAAACAAAGAAAAGCACGTAACAACAGAGGACAAACATAGGTACAAGGTAAGGTTTAAGAATTAAACATTTTGAAGTATCGACTTCACAGCGACTCGAAGGATTCAGAGATTTACTCCAAAAACTCCATGTGGTATCGTGGAGTTGAGATACACTTGGCTACCTACCTACCTCCCTACCTAGCACCTACCAATGCATAATGTTGTCCAGGGTCATATAACATGTTTTAGATAGTATTACCATACAGAACCACAGCCAACTGACTGGGCTAAGTAAGACCAGACAGCCATGATACACGTCGCTGATTAGAAGTAGGGCGATTATGATTACCAGAGAGACTGACCTAGATTGTTTACTCTAAGGGTGGATTAAGAGTAACTCTTATGTTGTCTCAGTGGTGTAAAGTAAGTTTGGGGGTATCTGTACTTTACTATTTATATTTTTAACAACTTTTACTTTAACTCCAATACATTCCTAAATAAAATAATGTACTTTTTACTCCATATATTTTCCCTGACACCCAAAAGTACTCGTTACATTTCGAATGCTTAGCAGGACAGGAAAATGGTCCAATTCACACACTTATCAAGAGAACATCTCTGGTCATCCCGATTGCCTCTGATCTGGCGGACTCACGAAACACAAACGATTTGTTTGTAAATCATGTCTGAGTGTTGGAGTGTGCCCCTGGCTATCCCTAAATTTAAAAACAAACAAGAAAATCGTGCCGTCTGGTTTGCTTAATATAAGTAATGTGAAATTATTTATACTTTTACTTTTGATACTGAAGTATATTTTAGCAATTACATTTACTTTTGATACTTAAGTATATTTAAAACCAAATACATTTAGACTTTTACTCATGTAGTATTTTACTGGGTGACTCACTTTTGCTTGAGTCATTTTCTATTACTTTTACTCAAGTATAACAATTGGGTATTTTTTCCACCACTGCTCACTCTCCTCAAGGCCAAACTCCACTCAGAAACATATGTTCATACTGAGGACTGCAGTCATTGCTCATGTTGTGGGAATGCTGTGCTACACAAAACACTGATCTAGGGTGAATCTCAAAATAATTTTCCTTGATTCCTCTCTGCTTGCCTCCTTCTCAAAACATCAGAGGACACGAGAACATTGGAGGAGAACATCCTCTAATACTCTTTGTTTCCCTCTGATGTTTTGAAAAGGAGGCAAGGAGAGAGGAATTGAAGGAAAATACTTGAGATTCCACCCTGGTCTTAGTGAGGACTGAGTGAGACAGTCCTGTAATGAAGAGACTGTGGGGACATCAGTCACTTATTTTATGGCCTGGGTTTCTGTGTTATAAACAAGCAGTAGAAATCCTCAATATAACTGAGCCATAAGAAAATGTGTAAACTCTGGCCTGGTGAATATCATCCATGTGAGCGATATAGTCAAGAGGCTTTTCAGGTTACCAATAAAACAACAGAAGTACTAAAGTTGAGGATAAACCGAGTCAGAGGAGATAAGATATCCTCAGATTGGCACTATTCAATCAAATCATTGAATCAATAATTGTACAGGTAAACAAGTCAATGGCGGTTTTGTTGTCTGCTGCAGCTGAAAGGAAAGACAGTGAGCTGGTCCTGAGGCGAGAAATGTGACTGGACATTGACTCCAATGAGGCATGCATTCAGAAATGGGCTGAGAAGAATCACAGTGTAATGGGAGGGGAGATTGCAATCATTCCATGGAAACACTGATTACAAATTACCACAAACAGACAGACAGACATCCATCCATCCAACCAATCAGCATGCCACCTGACATAGACAGCAGGGGGAGATGTGCCAAGGGAAGGCCAGCACAGACGAGGACCCTTGCAAATGTGCCCTGGCTCCACCCCCCCTGAAAACACCAAGGCTCCTTCAGCATGCTCTGAATGGGTGGGCAGCAGTGAAGGCTGCTGAGGGGAGGATGGCTCATAATAATGGCTGGAACGGAGCAAAAGGAATGGCATCAAACACATGGAAACCATGTTTTTGATGTATTTGATACCATTCCTCCTGTGGTAGGCAGGGTACATTACAAAAGAAAAACACAAAGAAAAACCATGAAACTGGAAGTATGAGACCAATGATCAGTAATAATACAAATCTATTTCCTGCTTATTTAAACAACCATTTCCTACTTTTTCACACTAAGGTGATAATGACTTTTGTGGTGAACTACTTTTGTAAAAAAAAAAGTACATGTTTTATTTCTCTCCCTGACATCTGGTTGAAATGGAAGCATTGTTTACTTTAAGGCCGCCCTCTTAGGGGGTTGCCAAGAGACAAACTGACTCTTCCAGTTTCACAAACATGTGGACACTCATTTAGATCTCTTAATATTGTAGTAAAAGGTCATATAATATGAGAAATATGAGACACCATATGGGTGTGTTTAAGGTCAAAGGAAGATGGGTATATCCACTTTCCATTATCCAAATCTGCATTGAGCCGGTCCCATTACTTTGAATTGGGACAGTCTCATTCAAATACAATGACAAGGACTGTAAACTTCAGTTGCCACATAACTCCTGTTACCATAGAAACCAGGACAGGAGGCTTGTATAGGCTCGTCCAATCAGATAGAGACCTGATGATGGACCTTGTTAGAGAAGTTCATCGTTAAAGCTCCCTCTGCGTCAGTGACAGTGGACTCATTGTAGTCAAGCCCACTGGACAGACTAGGAAACTAAGAAAAGGGAACATCACACAACTTGCACTGGGTTAGAAGTAATGGAATTGGTTGTAATGAATTACAAATTATAGACCAGATTAGTCATAAATAAGACAGAAATGTCCAGTGAGAACTAATAAATAAAATCTAAAGTACTAAAGTAAATTGCAGGAACACTTGAACTTGTATACTCACATTGAATTAACAGTTGCTAGCTACATACATAACTCAATTTGATTAGCTCATATTTTCAATGAAACCAATTTTAATAAAACTTTCACTGCAGATTGGCACTAGGGGGGTTAGCAAAATGAAATCAGGATTTTGACACAGAGAAAAGGTTACAAAAAGTAAATTACTGTAAAAATAAGTAATGTAAATGTTTGGATGCAAAATAAACATGTCAGGTTTATTCATCTTCCTTGTACCCCATTCAAGTCAGAAATGTCTGTCTGGACTGTTTCTGCCTTGATACGAGGGTCAGTCATTCTCCACCATCAGCTAGCTCAACCTGATATTCATGGACATTAGATTCAGCACTATAATTCCTGCTTGAGCAATATAGGGTTTATTTAGTAATAGACATGGTCCAAATCATTTGTACCAAGGAGATAGAAAAATAGTTGAATCTGTAACAAACCCTGTTTGTAAAATTCTGTATCCGATCAGGGATGTGAGACTACACGTTCTATGGTGTTCACTCGATATTTAAACTTGACCATGGACACAAACATTTCTTACATTTCACTTTACATAGGTTTTCTTGTTCAGTGTTAAGTAAACAGGGTCTGAAATAACTAAACCCTTGCAACCAGTTCTGACTAAAGGGAGTACAGCTACGACCGGAAATGACTTTTTCGTAGCAGGTTAGGAGAATTTACACAGCAGGTTAGGATAATTAACGTGGCAGGTTAGGAGATTTAGGATTAGGTTAGGAAAAGGGTTAAGGTTAGCTAAAATGCTCTCCTAACCTGCTACGAAAAGTCACTTCCGGTCGTAGCTGAACTCCCTCTAGTCACAACCCTTGCAACGAAGAACCATATATCTCAATTTTGGAAAATTGTGGTGACTTGGCATATTTCTAGTTGTATACATAAGACTCTGGATTATAGTTAATAATATTATAATCTTTAAAATAACTAAATGTAATAATTGATGGAGGCAATTCTTCTGTCGTAACTTCTAGCAGGTGAATGATTGACCCTCAGTCACGGCTATGGCACGGTGCAGTGGGGTAGGGGAGAGGGGAGGCAGAGGATGGGAGGGAGGGGATGGAGGCTGAACCCCATCCCAACTTGACCTTAAAGAGGCATTCCAATCCATTCCCAAAAGGTAGATGTGGTACAGTAGGTAGGTGCTTTACCTGTGCCACCCCAGTGACAGTAATAGCTACACCCTCCGCTGTCTCTACATCCTCACACTTGGGCTGCAGGGTCATAATCTCAAGGGTTATCCTGTGGAGAACGTGGAGAAAAAAAAAGAAAAAGAAAAAAATTGGCATGTTCTGAAGGGAAGGGAGAGCAAATGAAGAGAGGGGGAGTAAAAACACAAGGCCTCCTCCTCCAGGGCAGTGACAACAGGATGTCCTCCTCCAAGGCAGTGACAACAGGATGTCCTCCTCCAAGGCAGTGACAACAGGATGTCCTCCTCCAAGGCAGTGACAACAGGATGTCCTCCTCCAAGGCAGTGACAACAGGATGTCCTCCTCCAAGGCAGTGACAACAGGATGTAATGGAATGCTTTTTTTCTGGAGTGCAGAATATCATTAGGTTCCCAATGTAGATGTGATGTGCATCGAATCACCACATTGAAATAAATATCAAGTCATGTCAACTTGTGTTTATCAACAGTGTAATAGCTAGCAATGGTGGGACACTTCTTCTTTGCATCCCTTTCTCAGAGCATTCATTATGGGGACCCTGTTGCCAAAGCCCATAGGATTGAGTTAACAAATACAGACGTTAGCTGTGTAGCAAAGCCCATAGAACAGTTTAATGACAGACAGCTGACTCTCTCTCCCTTCCACTGCAGAGGGAGAGAACAACGTGACATGAAGATGGAAAAACAGAGACACACACAGTAGTTTGCCAGTTAGTCCACCTGTTTGTTTGCCTCTGACGTTTTGTTTTGTTCTAGACCAGTGCACCAGTCCCTGCCTGACTGTCTGTTGTCTTTCGTGTCTTTGTGTTCTTTTCGCGGCTGTCTGAAGCATTACCTGAGCCACCCCTGTCACATCCAGGGGAACACCCTCCGAGGTTTCGATATTCTCACAGCGACAGAGGATGGTCATTATCTCCAGAGACATCCTAGGCGGGCAGGCAGGTGGTAGGAATAGGAGAGGCAGGACAGTGAATATAGTACACTTATAACAGCTGTTAGGGATGTCAGTAACGGAGAGTCAGGGGTGAGAGGGGAGGGATTACAACTAGAAGACACTTTAGGAGGCCTACGCCATAGACTACCATAGACTAGACTCTACAGCAGGGATCCTCAACTAGATTCAGCCGCTGGCCGATTTCTTCGACGCGGATGATCAGGGGTCCTGGAACATAATTACAAATAATTTGTAGACTGCAAATTGACCGCAAGAAGCCCAAACAGATATAACATTTGACAAAAACATAATCATTTCAAACCTTGCTTATACTGTATTTGTATACGATCACATATATCTGTCTATTATGCGTGGGAATACTTTGGAACAGATTTCCAAAATTAAAATAACTTGGAGATGATTTCCTGGTGTTTTTAGTATTTTATGTCCCCCACCCCCCCAAAAAAAGTACATTAAATATTTAAAATAAAAGCATCTTGTTTTGGGGCAGACCAAATAAAATCACCCGCGGGAAAAAATCGGCCCATGGGCCGCCAGTTGGGGAATCCTGCTCTACAGCAAAAAGGAACCATTGTGTAGCCTAACCACCAGAGGCTGAGGCAGAGAGCTTCAGATGGAACCGAAATATCTCCAGTCTATCAATTACCTAATATGCTGGTGTTTACATTACAAGCACAAACACAGCACAGCCAGTCAGTTCTCTTCACAACACAACGGACAGCAACAACTAGGGCAGGAGTCACGGGGAAGGATTGGATTGGTCAGCACAGCAGTCACACAGCAGCATTCTTAATCCACATCTGAGATTAAGCCACTAAAGCCACTAGAGATTACTCAAGAATGCCTCTACACACTGCAAGACCCTAATGACAATCTCTACTGCTTTGTTGAGGCTCGGTTAACAAGTACATCAAATCAATGTTAGACACACTGACTGACAGAGCTAAAGTGCATTTAGAAGCTGGCCATCAACAAGGACATGGCTTTCAGCTTCAATGTTCCAAGTCTGAGACAGAGAAAGAGTCAGGGGATGGGCTGGCTGTAGCATCACTCCCCCAGGCCTCTCAGGCTCCTTCTCTTTCTGTGTTATGGGAGAAGTGGATCAATGACTCATTGGGCCAGAGACACTAACAAGATTACTGCATCACTAACGGGAAGTGGCTGGGAGGCTGGGAGCTTTAGTTAACCCCTTCAGGGCCCACCCTATTCTCCAGTCTGTAATAGCTACCAGCTAATGGCTACCAGCTAATGCAGGCGGGGCTGGTTCAAACAAACGCTGTACCAGAGAAAAACTATACGCAGATACGCAATTTCTCATATTTATTTAATCATCCAAAATCATAGGAAAGTGTTACTGAAATATTTTGATCTCATGAGGTTTATTGGAAATATGAGAGGTCCAACTAGAGGCTGGAGATGACTAATATTAGCCTGATCCCAAATCTGTTTGTGCTGTAAAGCCAACTCCTATGGTTGTTGTTGTTATGCCAAACAGCACAAACAGATCTGGGACCAGGCTAGACTAGTAGATCTTCTTTCTTAAAAGAGCACCACGGGCAACAAACACTTGAGCCATCCCATGCCTCTACTTAACTATATTTAGAGCCTTAATGGCAGGTATCCTAGCAACTACTAGACAAAATAACTTGTATTTATAGTATGAGCCAGAGCCATATACACAGTGTACAAAACAGCAGCTTTGCCATTCTTGACACTCAAAACCAGTGTGCCTGGCACCTACTACCATACCCCGTTCAAAGGCACTTAAATCGTTTGTCTTGCCAATTCACCCTCTGAATGGCACACATACACAATCCATGTTTCAATAGTCTCAAGGCTTAAAAATCCTTCTTTAACCAGGCCGAGGGAGATTGACAGTTATTTTGTGTTTCTTCCATTTGCGAATAATCGCACCAACTGTTGTCACCTTCTCACCAAGCTGCTTGGCGATGGTCTTGTAGCCCATTCCAGCCTTGTGTAGGTCTACAATCTTGTCCCTGACATCCTTGGAGAGCTCTTTGGTCTTGGCCATGGTGGAGAGTTTGGAATCTGATTGATTGCTTCTGTGGACAGGTGTCTTTTATACAGGTAACAAACTGAGATTAGGAGCACTCCCTTTAAGAGTGTGCTCCTAATCTCAGCTCGTTACCTGTATAAAAGACACCTAGGACCCAGAAATCTTTCTGATTGAGAGGGGTTCAAATAATTATTTCCCTCATTAAAATGCAAATCAATTTATATCATTTTTGACATGCGTTTTTCTGGATTTTTTTGTTGTTATTCTGTCTCTCACTGTTCAAATAAACCTACCATTAAAATTATAGACTGATCATGTCTTTGTCAGTGGGCAAACGTACAAAATCAGCAGGGGATCAACTACTTTTTTCCCCTCACTGTATATATATATGGCTCTGGCATGAGCTATATAGCTCCTTAGGACCATTGAATGAGGAATTAGATTACTAGAATGGACATGAACCTGGACATGAACCTTCTTATGACGGTCCAAAGGTCAGCCATGTTGGTCAGGGAGTTGGTCAACCCTGGTTTTCCAGTGCTGTCATAAGATATTGTGTAAAACAATGAATGTGAAGGATTTATCTGCACTGTATGTGTGTTAGCTAGCTAGCCAGACAGTGTTAGAGGAATGATTCCATAAATTTGTCAAATTAACTGCCAATATGCCAACATTCCATTCAAACAATGCCCTCAATCCACAGCCATACACTGGCTCAAATCAGTCGATGATAGGACTTAGACAAGTTGCAAATGCAACGATACTGATACTGTATCATATCATAGTACTCACAGCTTTCCAAGAACACAACATCTGAGACATTTATGGTCTGTTTAAATATCTTTTAGAGGCTAAAATATGTATAAACTGTATTTATAATTATATGACAATATTTTAGGTTGACTATAATTCCATTACACAATTTATGATACATCACATGCTTTACTTTTATTTTCCTGCATAAGTAAAATAAGGATTATGCCTCTACTGCCATTCATATCCAATTAGACTGGTTTTGGATTTCTCCCTGATATGGCTGCCACTTTTTATGACATAGCCCCTCTAGTAATTGAATAGGTGTCACGCCCTGACTCAGGGGATGCTTATATGTTGAGTCAGGGTGTGTATATTCTAGTATGGGTATTTCTATGCTGGCCGGTGTGGTTCCCAATCAGAGGCAGCTGTCGCTCGTTGTCTCTGATTGGGGACAATACTTAGGCAGCCTATTGGCACTATTGAGTTGTGGGATCTTGTTCCGTATAGGTATGTTGTTTGTGTCTACCTTGGACTTCACGTTTAGTTTCGTTTATTGTTTTGTCGAGTGTTTATTACGTTTAAAAAAACATGTATGCATATCACGCTGCGCCTTGGTCCGTCCCGTCTATGAACGAACGTGACAGAAGATCCCACCAGACCTGGACCAAGCAGTGTGCCGAGGAGGAGCAGAGAGGATGGACTTGGCAGGAGATAAGAGAGGATCTGGCAAGAAAGATGGAGGCCCTGATCAGGGTGGAGAGGCAACCCCAAGAACATTTTTGGGGGGGGGCACACGGTGTGGACGACGAGGCAGCAGGAGGCCGCGATAGGGCGGATCTGCTGGTTAGGAGAGGAGGCCACCAGATTACGGGGGCTATTGGTTCAGAGGGAGCAGGAGGTATTCGGTCAGAGGGAGGCGCTACAGGAGGCTAGAAGGGAGAAGGAAGGTGTAGAGGCACGGCGAGAGGAGCTGGTTAGGCAGCAGAAGGAGCGGGGATGAATAAAGGAACCCAGTCCCGCTCCTCGCACCAAGGAAGAGGTGCGTGTCGCCAGTCCGGTCCGGCCCGTTCCTGCTCCCCGCACTAAGCCAGTGGTGCGTGTTCCCAGTACGGCCCGACCTGTTCCTGCTCCTCGCACCAAGCCAGTGGTGTGCGTCGCCAGCCCGGCCCGGCCTGTTCCTGCTCCATGCACCAAGCCAGTGGTACGCGTCGCCAGTCCGGCCCGGCCTGTTCCTGCTCCTCGCATCAACCTAGTGGTGCGCGTCGCCAGTCCGGCCCGGCCTGTTCCTGCTCCTCGCACCAAGCCAGTGGTGCGCGTCGCCAGCCCAGCCCGGCCCGTTCCTGCTCCTCGCACCAAGCCAGTGGTGCGCGTCGCCAGCCCAGCCCGGCCCGTTCCTGCTCCTCGCACCAAGCCAGTGGTGCGCGTCGCCAGCCCGGTCCGGCCCGTTCCTGCTCCTCGCACCAAGCCAGTGGTGCGCGTCGCCAGCCTGGCCCGGCCTGTTCCTGCTCCTCGCACCAAGCCAGTGGTGCGCGTCGCCAGTCCGGTCCGTGCCTGCTCCTCGCACCAGACCAGTGGTGCGTTTGTCCAGTCCGGCACGGCCCGTGCCCGTTCCACTCCGGAGCCAGAGCAGTCCGCTCCGCCGGTGCCTGATCCAGCTCCGGTCAACTGCTCCACTCCGGAGCCAGAGCAGTCCGCTCCACCGGTGCCTGATCCAGCTCCGGTAAGCTGCGCCACTCCGGAGCCAGAGCAGTCCGCTCCACCGGGGTCTAGTCCAGCTCCGGTCAACGGCTCCACTCCGGAGCCAGAGCAGTCCGCTCCACCGGTGCCTAGTCCAGCTCCGGTCAGCGGCTCCAGTCCAGACCATGACGTCAGCCCCTCTCCAGGTTCGGGGTCTCCCACACCAGGGTCCAGACTGGGCCTGGCGTATCGTGGGAGGAAGGAGAGGGGAAGCAACGCGTCGAGGTCTAGACCAGACCAGGGGCGCAACAGGGAGGCGAAGAGTGAGAGGTCGTCACGCCCTGAGCCGGATCCGCCTCCGAGGCGGAATGCCCACCCGGCCCCTACCCTGTTATGTTTATGTTGTGCGGTCGGAGTCCGCACCTTTGGGGGGGGTACTGTCACGCCCTGACTCAGGGGACGCTTATATGTTGAGTCAGGGTGTGTATATTCTAGTATGGGTATTTCTATGTTGGCCGGTGTGGTTCCCAATCAGAGGCAGCTGTCGCTCGTTGTCTCTGATTGGGGACCATACTTAGGCAGCCTATTGGCCCTATTGAGTTGTGGGATCTTGTTCCGTATAGGTATGTTGTTTGTGTCTACCTTGGACTTCACGTTTAGTTTCGTTTATTGTTTTGTCGAGTGTTTATTAAGTTTAAATAAACATGTATGCATATCACGCTGCGCCTTGGTCCGTCCCGTCTATGAACGAACGTGACAATAGGATCGCTATGGTTAGGACATCATCCCCAAGACACAGCAGGGCTGAGAGAGACATGGTGAGTTGAACACCAGGCAAGGCAGATTAGCATGGCAGAAACAAAGAGACAAATTATAAGTAACAAACAAACACAATACTTAATAGTTAAGGGAAAATGCATGAAATAAATTGTAATGGGATGTGTTGTGTTCAGAGATCTAAAAACTATTACCACAAATGTTTTAAACTTGATTTCACAACTATCATATGTGCCGTGGAAGCTAAAATGTTGATTTGTTTTATTTTAAATATAGGCCAACTGTAGCAGAATATAATTCAGTGAGATTGAACTTCACCTGACCCTAACCTCTCTCAGTGTGTTTGTCTTTCCACTACAATTATGTGCTGTAGTGTTTACAGGGGTTGCTGACTGCAAGGTTGTGTTTGAGAGCAGCTGACTTGCTTAGCTGTGACATGTTGTGTTTACACACACAGTGGACACTAGCTGCTAATGAGGATGGGCCTCCACTCTCACTGCAAACCTCATTACAATAACAAACTGCTTATTTTCCTTCATGTTGGTGAAGAGACTAGCTATAATATTTAATGTAGCTTGTAAATATGTTTAAATGTGTGGATGAGTGGGCACAGTTTTAAATATGGTGTTAATACTGATTCTGATGTTTAAAAATCAAAATAGGAATGAAAACGGACTAATCTGTCTGCTATCCAACAGTAGGCCTAAATGGTTTGTTTTGGAGGTAAATTCTGGATGTATGGCTGGATGTTAGGGCAGTGATTGTATAATTCCCCAAACTGTACTTAAACCCTCTGAATGGGTTAAACACCTTTCTTACCTCTGGATGTCTGAGATGAGCCACCAGGCCCAGGACCAGCCTCCCACCACGTAGGTCTTCTCATCAGAGCCACAGCAACCACCTGCGAGCCAGCACAGGCAAAATGAGCATCACATTGTAACCACTGTATCACTGATAACAACATAGAAATAGTACTGTATTCTATTTCTATGGAATGACAATCAGTGTCATTGCACCACTGACAGTATCATCAACATCAGAGTATTACACTATTAGACCACAGTAAACCAGACCAGTATCATGGTATCAGACTACAGTTTGAAGAGCTGAGGTCCGCCTCCTGAGTGGCGCAGCGGTCTAAGGCACTGCAACGCAGTGCTTGAGGTGTCACTACAGATCTGGGTTCGATCCCGGGCTGTGTCGCAGCCGACTGCGACCGGGAGACCCATGAGGCAGCACACAATTGGCCCAGTGTCGTCCGGGTTAGGGGAGGGTTTGGCCGGCCGGGATGTCCTTGTTCCAATCGCGCTCTACAGACTCCTGTGGTGGGCCGGGCGCATGCACGCTGACACGGTCGCCAGTTGTATGGTGCTTCCTCCAACTAATTGGTGCGGCTGGCTTCCGGGTTAAGTGAGCAGTGTGTCAAGAAGCAGTGTGGCTTGGCAGGGTTGTGTTTCGGAGGACGCATGGCTCTCGACCTTCACCTATCCCGAGTCCGTACGGGAGTTGTAGCAATGGGACAAAACTGTAACTACCAATTGGATATCAGGAAATTGGGGTAAAAAGTACTTTGTTGAAGCGACTACAGCCTCGAGTCTTCTTAGGTATGATGCTACAAGCTTGGCACACCTGTATTTGGGGAGTTTCTACCATTCTTCTCTGCAGATCCTCTCAAGCTCTGTCAGGTTGGATGGGGAGTGTCGCTGCACAGCGATTTTCAGGTCTCTCCAGAGATGTTAGATCGGGTTCAAGTCCGGGCTCTGGCTGGGCCACTCAAGGACATTCAGTGACTTGTCCCGAATCCACTCCTGCGTTGTCTTGGCTGTGTGCTTAGGGTTGATTCCCTGTTGGAAAGTGAACCTTCGCCCCAATCTGAGGTCCTGAGCGCTCTGGAGAAGGTTTTAATCAAGGATCTCTTTGTACTTTGCTCCGTTTATCTTTACCTTGATCCTGACTAGTCTCCCAGTCCCTGAAAAACATCCCCACAGCATGATCCTGCCACCACCATGCTTCACCGTAGGGATGGTGCCAGGTTTCCTCCAGACATTACGCTTGGCATTTAGGCCAAAGAGTTCAATCTTGGTTTCATCAGACCAGATAATCTTGTTTTCATGGTCTGAGAGTCCTTTAGCTGCCTTTTGGCAAACTCCAAGCGGGCTGTCATGTGCCTTTTACTGAGGGGTGGCTTCCGTCTGGCCACTCTACCATAAAGGCCTGATTGGTGGAGTGCTGCAGAGATGGTTGTCCTTCTGGAAGGTTCTCCCATCTCCACAGAGGAACTCTGGAGTTCTGTCAGAGTGACCATCGAGTTCTTGGTCACCTCCCTGACCAAGGCCCTTCTCCCCCGATTGCTCAGTTTGGCTGGGCAACCAGCTCTAGGAAGAGTCTTGGTGGTTCCAAACTTCTCCCATTTCAGAATGATGGAGGCCACTGTGTTCTTGGGGACCTTCAATGCTGCAGAAATGTTTTGGTACCCTTCCCCAGATCTGTGCCTCGACACAATCCTGTCTCGGAGCTCTACGGACAATTCCTCCTGGCTTGGTTTTTGCTCTGACATGCACTGTCAACTGTGGAACCTTATATAGAACGGTGTGTGCCTTTCCAAATCATGTCCAATCAATTGAATTTACCACAGGTGGACTCCAATTAAGTTGTAGAAACATCTCAAGGAAGATCTACGGAAACAGGACGCACCTGAGCTCAATTTCGAGTCTCATAGCAAAGGGTCTGAATACTTATGTAAATAAGGTATTTGTTTTTTATTTGTAATACATTTGTAAACATTTCTAAAAACCTGTTTTCGCTTTGTCATTATGGGGTATTGTGTGTAGATTGATGAGGAACATTTTTTATTTAATCAATTTTAGAATAAGGCTGGAACGTAGCAAAATGTGGAAATAGGGAAAGGGTCTGAATAATTTCAGAATGCACTGTAGGTTGGGATAGAGGTGCTCTGCTATCAGTACTGCATTAATCAACCATAAAGTCATAGGGTATCAAGTCAACTAAAGCTGTACCACCCCTCCACATGCCCACAAACAAACACAATTTAGTGTTAGCCTATGAACCTGTTACTGCAGTGGGCTAAATCAGGGCCACAGAGTGATTCTTAGTAGTCTTAAACAAATCTACTTTGAAACAAACATATACACCTCACACACATGGTTATGGGCTTAAAACAAATAAGACACCTGTACCATGTCACATATAGAGTTGAAATGTATTCAATTTTGAGTTTGCATCCCAATATGACACACTTTATATAGATCATAGAAGACTGAAATATAACAAAACAGTTTGACATAGAAACAATGGATTTGTCTGTAAAAAAAAAAAAAACTTTAATTATGAAAAATATTAATAACATTCCACCCATGAGGCCAAATAGGGAGCCTTTGGTCATTGACTGCAGGAAGGGGCTACCAAGGATGGTGGATTGCAGACAGGAGTCTGAGTCGCTTGAGTTGGATGTCACCTGAACTTGCCCGTGGAAGATCATTGTCCAGGCCCACATGAACTATCATCAATAACTGAATTGTTGTTTTTTGTTTTGTTTTTAAAGCGTCTTTGAGATTCTTCACGTAATGAAAAGCGCTATATAAAATACATCTATATTATGGTGTCATACTATATGTAGTGTTATTCCTCTGTTAGTTCAGTGTATCTGTAACATGGACTCTTAACAACATGATGAAACCTTTTTGCTCCTTGCTGAAACAAGCAAGGTGTTTGTAGCAAACAAGTCTTCGGTTGCCTTGGCAATGCCCCTCTCCCTGCAGCAGCAGCACAAAAATAAATAGAATGAATAAAACAGAGGTGCGTTCAACAACCGTTCGCTAACGTTAGCTAAACGTCTGAGAAGATAGTGTGCGGCGAACGTAAGTGTTTGTTTCGGGTCTAAACTGCTGCTAAAAATAATAATGTAGACTTTCTACTATATTTTGTAGGAATAGCTAAGTCATTTTCAGTTTGAATATTGTCACTAAATAGCCACAGTAATCCTTACAAAAAGTAGCTGTTTGATATTTCACTGTAACATTTTGGAATGATCATTCAAATTATTCAACTGAAATTGTTACTCAGGCAACATGTTCACTGCAAACAGAAGCCTTGCTGAACTCGCCTCAGGCTTAGAACCTCTAACCCTGGCAATTTGACTGGTAAACTCATGGGTACACTCGCAATGGCTGCCTGATATCGTGATGCAATAATTTCCATGTTAATGTAGAATGTTCATTCAAATGATGTTCACTGATGTGGCTCATGCAATGGAATGTATTTTTTGTAATGGCAATTGAGTTGAATCAACAAATCACACCACATATTCATGGGTACACTTCCTGCTTTTACTTCCTCCTTCTTCGGTATCATGACATTCGCACATTTTGTTTGTGGATGCCGACAACCTACTGTGCAGGAGCGTATGGTTGATCACGTTACATTTTGTGATACAAAAATAAAAAGGAGGATGAAACAAAGCGGCAGAAATACTTTGAAAACAGCTACTGCAGCATACATTTTGCTATAAATCACAACTTCCACTTGTGCCCATACTTTACTTGACTATTTATGAAAGTCTTGCACTGTAGAGCCCTAAGTGTGACCACCCGCCAACGTGGCTGGTGAATTAGAAATTCTTACCCGCCAATGAGAAAATTATTACGCTCACTCAGCTGTGCCTCACAAGTAATACAACAAATGATCTATTACCAGTGTGATCATATACCTAAAATGTTAAAATATAATTTCAAAATGGTCTGAGAAGAACAACATTGGCAGGGCATTTCAAGCATAGTCAATATGCAGTGATAATGTATTGGGCCTATAGCCTAAACCTCATCGCTACAGAACTGTTTTTAATTGGTTAATGTTGCATAGGTTTACAAATCCTGTCTCTAAAAACTTCCCCTGGCACTTTCACTTCAACACTTGCTCCACATTCAGTAGGCTACACCACCAACAAACCACAATTGATGGTGGTGGTGACATTTCTAGTACAGGAAAGTTAGCTCACACTCAAATGAGAAATCAAGTTCTGGAAAACACAATTGTGGTAACAAATGGCAGTTATCAAAGGGGCTTACTGGTACTAGTTGTCGGCAGGGTGGGAAATTAATTTTTTGGTCCACCAGCCACTGTGGCAGGTACAGTAGATTAAAAAAAATCTACCAGCGACTCAGATTTTTTACAAGCCCCCCCCCCCCCCCCAAATCTCCATAATTACACAAAAAAGCACAACAACAAAACAGATGAGCATGCCTTCTGTTTAAAAATAAAAATGTATTACTAGTAAGAAGTAATGGGGTATATTGCGTAATTTCATTTTTGTGACCTGCGTTTTTTAACCAATGTATGTTAAAATAAATAATTTTGATCCAATAATAAAAACAGATACAACAGTTCTACAACTGAACATCAAGAATCAACAAAGTTCCTGCCCTGCCACAAAATGCTGAGTGATACGGCTTATTTATTATTATAGATCAGGGCTCTACGCTGACATTATGTCCTCCTTGTAAAAAATGTATTCCTAAGTAGAAATGATAAAGCACAAATAAATCTAGGAGAACAATGCCTAAAAGTTAATTAATAAACGTTTTTGGGAGTGATCCATGCTCAATCAAGCACAATCATTAGGTGAAACAACAATGTTCAGCTGGCCCTTTAAGGGACGGGCCATTAACTCAAACTCAAACTAACATTGAAAAACCTAGCATGTGAACAAAGCGATATAAATGACCAAGAAACACGAGGAGAAAGTCAAACTTAGTAGCCTTTCTTGACAATTCGACCAACTTCTACATGTGGGCTTTGGATTTTTAAAAACTGTTCCCAAATGCTCTGTGTGAAATATACATTATTCTCCGCCAATGACAAAATCTACCCGCATTTGGCGGGT